TTCAATATTGATTGTGATGAAGGATAGATCAAGCGAAATGGTTAACCTTTTATACATGTTCAATCTTCTGCGCCGTCTATAAATTAGACTTCCATTATCAAAATGGAACGGATCATAATAATAGCAATTTCGTTCAATCTGCAGTAGTAACTTTTGATCACAGAGTTAAATTGATTTACTTACAGTATTTACTTATTGAATCAATGAGATCTGCAGCCCAATTATGGAAGAAAAAAAATTAATTTTTATTATATTTCCTTTTTTATTTTTTTTTTTTTTATTGTACAATTAGCTATTTTTATTTTTGGAAAATTCTTTTGATGTACATTGATCACTTGATTATTTCAACGAATTTATTTTAAAGGATTCTTTGTTATTATATGAAATCACCGGTCACGTAAATTAAAATAATTTCAAACTCGGAGTATAATATGAATAACCTGGGTTTCCACGCCGAAGCTATATTTGCGTTATAGATCAAGCAGTTCAACATGAATGAATATTAATCATAATGTATTGAGTCATACATAACGGTAATTTTTTTTTTTGTAAAGGGTTACGTTCTCGCTCATCAAAATTATCATGGAGTATTCAAAGCCATAAAGAAATTGCATGCCGGAGTCACCCCTTGGTTATCACGAGATTTATTTAACTTAAATTGGAAAACTCGGATTGTAAAAGTTTCCCAATTATTATACATTTTCTCATTTGCAAAATAAATGTCAGTTTCGGGGATAATATTTTGGAGATGCTATTGGTTCGGCTTTATCAATTGTAGACATGTTTATAAATACATTATAAATTTATATATATAATTTATATTAACTATCGAGATTTTTTAAATAAAACCACAATAGAAAAATCAATTGAGAGCAGATTATTGTGATTAGCGGGTTAATATATATAGTATGTACAGTAGTCCTAGAAAGTATTCGCGATTTAATTAGATTTTAGAAAATTTTTGATTGGTCAATCTTTAAGGGGAAAATTCAAAGGATTTTTTTATAGTAAAATTTTTACCATGAGACCTTACATAATAAAATCGGCATATCAATTTTACATAATGCCAAAAATATTTTATGCGGTCTTACTAACTTTTTATTTTTAGTTTCTCACTTGCATGAGGAATCAAATCAGGTTGCATGCCGCAACAATGAATTCTTCAATTGTGACGAGAAATCAAACTTTGGATGAGAGATGCGAGTTCAATAAATTTAAAAGGTTTGTCAAATAAGATTAATCATACGCCACAGCGTGGATACCTACCTATATTGAAGAAGCGTTATTACAAAATCATTTAACGAATTAGTGCGAAAGGTATGCGACAAGAAGCTAAAAGTATCTTATGGTAACTTTCTCTTTTTTTTTTTTTTTTTTTTTTTTTTTTTTTTTTTAACGTAAAAGGCTCAATATTGAGAAATTCTAGATTTAAAGGTATTTATATCGCTTAGATTCAAATGATTTAATCTTGATTCATCAACTGAAATCTGTATTCTCATTTCAAAAAAATTTCTATGCCAATATTATATTTAATCCTCATACTCATCAGAATTTAATCGTATAATTCCAATTATTTAATCTGAAAGAATATTTTATCGGGAAAAAATATAAAGTTAGATTAACTTACTAGAATCATCATTTTTATTATATTCTAGATTACTTGGTAAAATCGAAACACGTGATGCAGAGTCCAATTCTAACCCTATCCTTCATAAGTAAATACATTGAAATTTTCTATAATAAACTAAAAAAATTATTTTTTATTTTTATTTTTAGGGAATCTGGTCATTCTTTACTCCTTAACTCCCTCTCGCTCATTACTCTCTGATTTATAATGAGTGGATTTGGGATTAAAAATGAGAAACTTCACGGATTACTTCACAGTTCACAGAGGGTACGGTAAGTAATGCATGATTGGTTAGGATTTGGCAAAATCCTAACCAATCAAATGCATTACTTACTGTGAGAGTTGAGTATTGTGAATACTGTTAATGTTGGAAGTAAAAAAAGAGAAGATACAAAGAAAGAAATATAAAAAATCAAGTAAACCAAGAAATGACGAGAACGGATTTGATTATAAGTCATTGTTGTTACATTGGATATAATTCCACCCGAAAAAATCATAATTTTTCGCCTTGGTTAGTCTTTGAAGATCAATTGTTAGGATACCGTATTGTTATGCCAAGTTTTACTAAATGTATTTTCTTGCGATAATCATAATTTCATAATTTTTATGCGTTAACTTCGATGTTTAATATTTTTTATTTATTTTTTTTTATTCTTCCGATTATTAGCTTTAATTAATTAGCGTTTAGTGATTAGCAATTATTTGAGTTAAAGAACGTCAATGTTGAGACAACACTGATTGATTAATTTATTGAATAACATTTACATTATAATTATTCAATTGCTTATTAATAAAAACCCTTCTGCTTACATTAAAATATATAAATACATAAACGAAAGAATTGAATACAACAGCATTATATTTCAAATTCACGAGATAAAAATTTTACATATAAAACTTTTTTTGGTTAAAATTTAAAAGGTGACCCGGCCGGGTGACGTGAATCGAAAATGCTAATGTGCGTGGCCTAATCATACCAAAGCCATATACATCTGAACCTTTAGTATATTCTTGCCTTTGAAAAATCTCCGGTGCAACATTTATTTTCGCTTAATCCTAAATCGCCTGTTACACAAAAATTTAAATGACAAAAGTTTCTACTGGGAAAATCATGGTGAATAATGTTTGCTAGGTGTATATTTCAAAGTCCTATTATAATATCAACCAATCTTTTTGTCTTAACTTCCCAAAGTAATGTGTCATATCCGATTCATAATACGGCATTATTATCATAAAATGAGATACCGTTATCGTACTCATTTAGATTTGATGTTTTTAGAATTGCCAATTTCATGAGAGCAACAGTCACATTAATAATATCATATTTATTAGTTGCTTTATAAACTTTACTAAATCCTCCTTCGGCAATAAATTCTACCCTTCGAATCTATCATATGGAATAAATTCCAATCGTCCTGCATGTTTAACACGATTTGTTTGTGTGAAATCTTACAAAATCATCAATAACTTTATTACCGCTTGATGCAATTGTTCTTGTTTTAATAGCAAAAACGACAAATCTGATGAATTTCAACAGAGGATTTTCTTATTCGATTACAATCATTACATTTCTTATACTTGAGTTTACGCGTAGGTTTAGTTTGTTGACTTAAATGTGTCATTTGTTATTAAATAATCAATTTAACCATTTGTTAAAATTTATTTTGAAAGAATGGTAGAAAAAAATTAATAATCCGGAATATGAAATCCGCTAAGGCGCCATTGTGTAACAATGGTTAAACAATAATGAATTTTGTTTAGTTGCTTACCATTGTTATAAAAGATGTAAATAATAAGTTACATCAAATCACGTTTTCACGTATCGCAAAGGATCATTAAATATTAACTTGGAAAGCTAATTGTTCGAATAGGCGGTGTGTCTGTAAAATTTTTAGTTTCATATCAGATTTTGAATCTTATTTTTCATATTACATCAGTTGCTTGCGAATTAAAACTCAATCAATGTAGAAAATTATTTCTTAGATCATCTATTTCGTCTTTGTAAATGTTTCACAAATCGAATTTTGCACCTTTTCCTATTTTTTTTTTTTTTTTTTTAATAACCGAGTCCGCACACAAGAATATCCTCAATTATTTAGTTATTTAAGGTTTTGATTAATTAACCAATAATTGCTTTAAATTCCAACGTATATGTATGTACAGTATGTCATAAAAATAAATATTGAAACTTCTATTCAAAGATACTTATTTTTAACAACAATGGATATGTTATTTTTGCATTAAAATGGCAAGAAGTTATAATCGTATTGTATTCAAACTTTTTTTTTTTTAAAAAAAAAAAAAAAAAAAAAAAAAACGAACGGTAATAACAATAGTTGTAAATTTGTAATTCCAAACATTATCTTAATTAGCTTACAAGAATAAAAAAAATTTGTATAACTACCTTTAATTTTTATACCGCAAGGAATACATGCATATAATTATTTAATGGTCTAAAAATAACCGGGTGGTGATCTATAAATATGAATTTTGAAAAAAAAAAAAAAAAAAATAAATGAGATTGAATTAGGATAAACTGAATACCGTATACTTAATTAGGAAACTTGAATAATTAGAGAGGTGTGTCACTAATTATGTGTCACTCATTATGTGTCACCATTCTCGTCACTAAGGTGCATGACATTAATTAGGAAAAATAAAAGAGAATGGAATGTTCGGTTAACCTTCAGTAAAAAGTATAAAATAGCAATCCAACTAATTACTCGCTCTTACGCGTTTTGAACTTTTCAAACGAATTCGTCTCAATGATATCAAAATTTCATTTCATTTTTATTGTTACGTTAGTTCTTTCCACTCTTGCAATAATTGCTCAATGTAAGGATTTTTTTAATATCCATCTTTAAAATTTGTTTCATAATGATTTGTTTTAGTTGACTAACTACTGTAATACCAATTACATCTACCATTTATATTTTATAGGTCGTAAGTGTACTTTTTTTTTTTAAAATAAATAAACTTTGATTGAAAACCGTATTCTCACATCCTACATTTGTAGAAGAGCACAAGAATGCAAAATATACTCGCCAACCCCAGAAAAGGGCTCTGGAAAAGATGCAACAGATTCGTAATGAAAAATATACGGCTCACCTGAATGCCTATTATTACTATCATGAATACGTCAAAAAGTGAGTACCGTATATAGAAACGATTTGCTACTAAAAAATGATTTACGACTCAATTCTAATAGCAAACGCCGATAACATAACATTAATGTTGATTTATTTCAGAATTAGTGATGAAGAAACAGATATATTTCCTCGAGATACTCCAACCGAAAATCCAAGTATATATCACTTTATTGTTTTTATATTGTACGAATTACTAATATGTCTTGTGTATTATTAGAGATATGCATCATCGGTGCCGGAGCAACCGGTATATTTATATATTTATACTTTTTCATACTTGGATAATTCATTTAATATTGTACACGTCCTCATGATATTATGCATCCTCTCATAGGTCTATTCTCAGCTCTTCTCTTGAAAGAGGCCGGAATCAATGATATTACGATACTTGAAGTTCAAGATCGTATTGGCGGTCGTATTCATACTCACTACTTTACCGATGATCCTGATGATGAAAGACGTTTGTATGGTGAGCTTGGTGCAATGAGATTGCCTTATGTCGATGGTCGCCCGGACCTTTCCCCTCACCAAATAGTTTTTGATACAATTGACTATTTGAACGAGTACAATAAGGATGATCCAAAGAAACAGATCCGAACCATTCCTTTCATCTTTAGGGATTCAGAGTGTGTAATGATTTAATATAATTTATGTTAATCGTTTCTCTATCACGATATTAAACTTATCTTTGATATCCATATAAAGTTCTATAAGTTATTTCAATGGCAAAAAAGATCCATCTGGCAAATTCATGACCAAAAATTATTCTGAAACTGCGGATGTCAGTAAACTTGGATACCCTGACACAATCCCACCTAACTTTGTGAAACTTTGGAACGAAGCATTAAAGCCTTTCTTCGATGAGTTGAACACCGATTACACAAAAGGTCTTAAAGCTTTAAAGCGTTATGACCAGTATTCAGTCTATTCCTACTTGAAGGAAGTCTTTCTTCCAGCGAGATTGCCAACAAAGTGGGAAGACTATGATGAAATTATCGCAGCTATTGAATTGCAAGTGACTGGAACAAGTATGTATTGTAACAATTTATTATTTTATATATATATATATATATATTTGAAAAAATTTTCTAATGTAACAAAACTATGTGCTTTTTATACAATTCCAGACGAGTTTACTAAGGGCTTCGTTGATTTTGCTATTGGAACATTTACTTTTGGAAATCCAAATTATCCTTTAAGCTGGAAAACCATTGATAAAGGAATGCAACGATTCCCAAACGCATTTTTACCTTTTATCAAAAAGGAAAAGATAGACCTGAGGTACAACAGTGAAGTTTACAAGATTGAAAAAACTGATGATGGTAAGAATGTTAAGGTGTATTGGAATTCTAAGGGAAAGAAAGAATTTGAAATATTTGATAGAGTGATTGTCACTCCTCCATTGGGCGTCGTTCGTCATTGGGATCTACCTCTAAGTAAGTTTTTTTTTTTAAAAAAAAAAAAAAAAATATATATATATATATAATAAAAATCTTAACCATAATTTCTTTGGTAGCATTATCATATGGCAAAAAACGTGCAATTCGTGAATTGAAATATCTAAATGCAGGAAAGATATTTCTTCAATTCAAGTCTCGCTTCTGGGAGAAAGAAGGCCAACCCACGACCTCGGGTGCTGGTATTGTTGGTGGTACAACGTCGACCGATCTGCCAGTTCGTACAGTGGTATACCCTTCATATTATCAAGGTCTATCAACGAATGGTTCTGGGGTCCTCTTAGCATCGTATACGTGGGATGATGATGCAACAAAATTTAGTCCATACAGCGAGGAGGAACGGTTTGAACTTGCATTAAAAGACTTGGTAACACTTCATGGAGAAATAGCATATGAGGAATGGATTCCGGGTAAAGAAAATAATAAGGCACATTATTGGTCAAATGATAAAACAGTTGTTGGGGGAGCCTACGCAAAGTATGGACCCGCACAATTAGGAAAGTTGATGGAATCTATGATGAGATCGGAAGAATTTATTCATTGGGCTGGGGAACACACTGATATACATAACGCTTGGATTGCTGGAGCTTTAAATTCAGCGGTTAGAGTGGTTAGAGAGATCTTATTAGAAAATTTAATGAAGGATAGATGGTTGAAATTGAAAAATTCACGATTATTAAAATATTGGAATGGGAATCTAGAAGCTTTTGAAGGTTATTAAATGTGCATAAAATGTTGCGATTCATGTCATACGTACCATAACAATACAATATTTTAAATTTTAAATTTTTAATAATATATACTTTTTTCTAAAACACGCGCGTGCGATGAATGTATTTATAAATTAAACTTTTTACAAATTAAAATAAAAAAAAAAAATAATAAAATTAACGTAGTTTTGATCTACCAATTTCTTAATTATCTCCTTTCTCATAAGATATATATTCAAATAAATGTCAATGAAAATTCTGACAAATTTATTACGATCTCAATCCAAATTTTGCGTGCATGAATCGGTAAAAAATATTTATATTATTTTATGTTTAATTTTACTACATTAAATAAAAAATAGAAGTCAGATATTTTCTTAAGATTATTATTTCCATTGGATCTTACTCTATATATCCAGTGCGTGCCGGACATCGCAGCATCACTAAAAACATGAAACAATTCAAAACCTTGTGAGCACAATTAAATTACAGGATATGGTATTTAATTAATTATAAATCATGATAAAATATGAGAAGTCAAGTGTATGTACCTGCAACGTCGAAAATAAACTATAAGGAAATTAACGTTAAAACTCATGTTTTATCAAACAATTAATAAGTCATTGTTGAATACGGCCTATATGTAATAGATAAATATAATATTTTCATTATAAACGAATATAAAAGGCTGAATACCTACATCAATTACATCTAAAAATCATTCCCAAGTTCAAAATTCCCTTGGCTTCGTATTCAAACAATAAAACTATCATCTCTTTTTATATGTTTGTTTTGCTCGAACTTATCTAATACTTGTTTTATAAACTCTAATTATGTTGAATTATTTTAATAAATCTCAAATTAGTTATATTTACAGAATAACTTTATTATTTAGAAACATAACTTTTTTACCGCAAAGTGATAAAAATATGCAAAGTTTTTTTTCTGTTTTACGAGATCTATTATTTCTTCAGGGTATTCATTTATAAGAATTTAACTCTTAATAATAATACCCTATAGTAATACCTTGTATGAGATTTCAATTGAAGAATATATTATTTAATACAAAAAGTAAAAAATTATTTATATTTTATTAAGTATTATTAACAATTATATTAAATTGTAAAACTAAAAAAAAGAATGCAATTAATATTAGAAAAGAGTGTATCTTCTTAAGATGCTGGCATTTCTAGCAAATTGGTAGTGTTTGCGATGCTGATAAAGAGTGAGAAAAAAAAATCCATAAAGAAAGAATTAGAAGGTTAAATATGAATAATATTAATAGAGCAAGGGTAAACCTTTACCTATTTTCTAACGATTAAAATTAAAGAATTTATCCATCTAATAAAATTTTTTAATTTAATGACAAAATTTGCATTGCTTTATTATATCAACAAGATACATGTTTTTCATGCTAAATACTAAACTACAAAATCGCATGTATTGATACGTTATTTCGTAACAGAATTTTACAGGTACAAAGGGGATGCTTTTCCTATTGTTTTCAATAATGAAATAGCTCTTATTATTTAAAATTCTTTCTAAAAAATGAATCCTAAACCCTAAATCTATAAGTATTGTCATCAAGAATTTGATTTTAACAATTTTGTTATCATCAAAATTATTAGATATCATATTTTCTCAATATAAAACGACAAAGTACGTTAACGATAGATGAAGGGTTACAGTTCTACTCATCAATCATTACAAAGAATATCATGAACCATTCCGAAAGGTAAAGTTATTGAGAAGAATATCCAAGATCCAAAAGAACTAAATCCTGATAAACAAAAAAAATATCATCACACTCCGTGTCTCATATAAAAAAGTCCTTTTGTAGAAAGACCCTTTTGTAAATTATGTGTAGAATCTCATTTAAACAAGATGAAATTTAACAATAAAGGATAAATAGCAATGGTTTTATTTTGACGAAAATAATTCATATGATAAAATAAGTAATTCGAAAAGAATAACCGATATCTTCAAAAAATATAATTTTATAACCTATTCTTAAATACCATGATGTAGAATTTAATACAAATCTTCTTCTTTCAATGACTTGCTTTTCATTGAATCTTTTTTTTTTAATACGAAGAAAATTAGTCAATAAAGAGATACAGATTTTAAAGCAATAATGAAAAAAAATAATTATAAAAATTACATGTTACTTACTAGGATATTCTTTGTCAAATGAACCGTCCGCATTTTTTGGTTCAGGAAGATTTTCAAAATCCAATAGCCTACTTGTGTATATTGCCTGAGGATGTACTTTATATGAAAGGGGATCAGTAGGCTTTGAAGAAAATAGTACCTTATTAAAGACTTCTACGTCATTAATTTGATTATAAATGATCGATCCGCTATTAATAGTATCGCATCTTAATTCGTATAACATTTTATATAGCTCTTCTGCTGTAGGACGTTTTGAAGGATCTGCATCCAAGCATTGACTAATGATATCTAGGATTGGAAATGGAACTTTATAATCAGATCTTGGTCTCAATCCTTGACAAATTTTTATCGCCAAAGATTCATCATGAGCTACCTCATGAAAAGAAGGAAATCCTGTAACTACTTCATGTGCTATGATTCCGAATCCATAAATATCACTTTCCCTGGTATATTCTTTTTCTCTTAAAACTTCGGGAGCAACGTAAGGTAACACCCCATATATTTGCCTTTTGCTATCGTGCATATGTTTATGATTCGCTGGTTGACATAACCCCAAATCACTGATGCAAGTAGACATCATTATATTATTTAATATGTTGCCACAATGAAAATTCCGATGAATTAATCCTTTATTATGAATATCTTTAAGTCCAGACGCAATTTCCTCTAAAAGGTACAACTTATTCCACCAATTCATTGAATTAAACGTTTTATCCAAGTTTGTTCTTAAATTACCATTTTCTGCATATTCCATTACTAACATAAAGTTATTTGTTTTTGGATCTTTGGTGATACCATAGCAATAAATTATGAAAAATGCGTTATTCATTAAAATATGTGATTCAATCTGAAAAAAAAAAAAAAAGGATTGGTTAGTAATGTGCGATGCGATCGTCACAAAAAAAAAAAAAAAATAAAATAAAATAAAATAAAATCCCTCACATTTTTTAAGAATTCCGCTGTAATATCCTGTGAATTATGTAAACTTTTTAAAACGACCTGAATGGTATCACTCCTTTCCCACCGATTCTTCTTGGAATCCCAATAAATTATATATCCATTTTTCCAATAGGCCTTATAAGTGATTCCATATCCTCCTTTGGCCAAGTATTCAACATGTTCAAATTTATTATAATCAATCCATTCTATCACTTCATTTTTAACTTTTGCCTTGAGTTGTGTCTTTTGAATGAATCCATCAACGTCTTGGTTACCACTCGTCCAGTTTTTGAAATTTTGTTGAAAATGTTGGGAATTGCAAAATTGACACCAATCATAACCCGTATTAGGCTGACCACAATATTTACATAAACCGAACATCTTTTCAAATTTTCAAGTCATCAATTAAAGATTTTTGTTCCTTTGTTAATCTCAGTCGATTAAAATTTATGATTTGACTAATAACATCAATACTGAGAGGTCAATACGCTTTAAATGAGAAATTACAAGTATATATATTTTTTATTTTTTCCCCCCCTCTAAAAAATTTTTGGAAAATTCTATAAAAAAAAAAGATCGTTATAAATTGGAATTCCATTTTAGCGTTCCAGAACTTTGGGCTAAAGTGCATAATCAAGTTATCATTCGTTAATGGAAAAAATGATCATCATTTGGAATTCTATAGAATGTAGGTTCGGGGGGTTCATTGACAATCACATATGTCATACAACAAAAAATAATATTGATGAAAATTAATTGTGACACGTATGTATAAAATTAGGTTTTTCTCATGATCGCCTACATTAAAACCTATCAACTCCTTTTCCTTTTTTGTAAGATATCGTAGGAGAATATTACGAGCACCATTTATATCTCTATCAAGTTTTATTTTACATTGGGGACAGCAAAATTCTTTGGATCCACCTAGTTTTTTATGAATATAGCCACAGAATCCGCAAGTTTTGCTTGTGTATTCTTCTGTACACATTACCATGAATACTCGCGTGACTTATGGATCAAATGCTGTCGAAAGCGACAATGTGACCATGTACACATGGCTCGAGCAGTCTTGGAGCCAATACGTCGTTGCCCACGTCGGACCATTCCTTGAGTTCGAAATTCGGGTAGTAATATTATACGATAATTTTCACACAGCCATTTAGCCAGCTTATAATGACAATCATTCACAAGACAGCTGATTTTATTATAAATTCGTAACAGAACACGACGTAATATGCAATTAAAAGTAGTAAACACATTAAATTATAAATAAATATTATAATTACTTGATTAATAAATTTTACCTGTAACGCTTTCGCTTATTTTTTTTTCCATGAACTTGATCACGCTTGCTTTTGAGTTTGTCATATGCATGACATAATCTGTAAACTCGGCCAATGTCATTTTTGCCCCATTCAATAGCCATTCCACTTGGATCATAACCGGTCATAAATGTACGTACACCTGGATCCAAAGAAATCACTCCTGATCCTTCCTATTAAATTATTAAATATAAAATTAATTGAAGTTTTGATTTAATAGATAATATAAATAATAAAAAAATAGACAAAAACCTTTTGAAATATAGGACCTTAGTTTCAGCCCGCATTTCAAGTGGTCTGGGTATACAAAGATAATATTCACCAAGCTGAGACGGCTATCATATTCAAGTTTTTTGGAAGAAGTTCTGATGACTTGATTTAAGAAGGAATGAATATTTACCACAAGATTTATCCCAATGCTTTAATAAGCCTGCAATAGACTGTTGAGAATCCTTTTTGAAACAAAACTTCATTTTAAAATTTTTACGATAAGCAGCAAAGTTGGAAGAAAATCCTTTAAGTAAGTCATTCATTACTTCATCACAAATATTATAGGGAGTTTCAAAGATCCATTTAAGTTTGATATACTTGAAGTTTTTGGCATTTAAACATAGTGCATATAGATCTTTCTTTTCTCATTTGATACTTTCTTTTCAATTGCAGTAAGACACTGATTGTATGTCTATTATGCTGTTCCTATCTATCTTCTGAGTTTTAGCTGCTCCTGCTAATTGGGATAAATGCGAATCTGTTATACTTTGCCTGCTGAAAGTTTCTTCACTTCCTTCTTGGAACTCTTAAATCTCTTAGGCAGCATCTCTTCTCCTTCTGTAATTTGTGGCTGAATATAATTTATTATGTTATATCATAAATGCTGTGACGATTGCAAGGAAGTCTTCTATAAGTTTTTCAACTTCACTACTTTCAATACTAACATTTATACTGAATACTATGAACTGAATTTCATTCTTCTCAAAGAATCATTTCACAAGCTCAAATTTGAATTAGCACAATCAGTCTTAATAGAAAAGTTAGTAAAATAAAAAAAATAATAAATCAAAGTAGGGATGTTAAAAAGTCCTATATGACTAAGTCCTAAACAGTTTCACAAAGTCTAGTTCAGTTTAAAGTCCTTTAAATTATTAGATTGCAGTCCTATAAAAATTAGGATTTGCAGTTTTAGGATTGTGGTCCTATAGAAAAATAATCATTCAAGTCAAATGATTCGTCATTATTTTTCTTGAATAATTTTATTATCGTCTAAATCAAATGATTTGTTATCATTCTTATTGAATGGTTATTTTTTTATTGTTAAAGTTAAATGATTCATTATTATTTTTCTTGAACAATTATTTCTTTTATTATTTAAGTTGAACAATTCATCATCATTCTTTTTGAATGATTATTTTTCTATAAGACTACAATCTAAGGACTACAAGTCCTAATTTTTATAGGGCTTCAGTCTTAGGACCTAGTCCTAGAATCCAATCTTAGGACTTAAGTTTTATAGACTGGGTCTTCTTTAAGATTGGGAGGTTTGGAATCAGACTAGGATCAAACTAGATTTTAACATCCTTAAATCAAAGCAAATAAACAATTAAACTCAAACCTTTTAGATAATTACTACTTCTTTGATTTCTCCTGTGTGTATTCATTTCAGAAGGAAAACAAATTCTCTTTGTTTTTGTTAAGCCAGGCATAACAGATCTTGACCTTTTGTATAAGTTATGTCTAGTTATTTCTGAAGATTTCTTATATATCAGTTAAGACGTTATATGTCTTCTTGATTTTTATTTACACTTTGAGAATCATTAAAAATGTGGTCTTTGTTCAGAAATAAGAGATTAATAGTAGAACTGTATTGCTTAAAACTATATTTGATTTTAAACTTTAAACTTTACATAATTATATTAATAATTAGTAAACTCAAGTAATACGAAAAATGTGATTTATTTCAGAATATTTAAAATCACAACATCAGTCTGATCCACATTTTACCAGAATGATTTGATTACATAAACAACATCAAACTTTAATATATAACATTCAAATTTTATATTATTTTCTTTCATCTTTTTTTTTTAAAAAAAAAATGAAAATAAACAAAAATATCTTTTAAAGAAAAATTATTCTTAAAATAAGAAATTATCATTTATTTTATTTTATTATTCTTTAAAACTAATCTGCTTTTGTAACATTTTTTAAGAAGTACAGCAATGGAATTTACTGATATAATGGCTACTTATTAGTTGAAATTATATATTGTAATTTGATGACATCATGAAAACTTGAAAAGTTAAGATTTTATGAAATGAAAAAGGTTTGATAAGTTTTAATAAATACTGCATTGAAGATTGTCCAAAATTTAATTTTATAGAGCAAAGTGAGTGCTTTTATTTGAAAATTCAAATTGAAATTAGAAAGTATAAAATATATCAAATCTCCTAAATTAAAAAAAAAAAGGCAAAAAAAAGAAAAGTAATTATTAATATTTTATTATTTTATTATTTGTAATTATTGATAGTAAAAAATATATCATTCATATGCTACTAAATATGAAATAATTATTGGAAGAGAATCACCTTTTTACTTGATTTAGATGCTTAGTTATACAGATCATTATACTTTGGATTACTATTAAAAAAAAACTATGATGCTTAATGTGCAATATGATGCCTTTTATTCCAGTATTATCACTAAGATATTCATCCTCATATTTTTTTTAGTCAGTATTATAAAACTTAGCCAAAATTAACCAATAGATAATAGGTGCTTACATCATAAAAATGAAAAAGTAAACACAGGTGACTAATTATTTGAGATCACGTGAGAGTGAAAAACTTGGTGAAAAGATCATGGTGTTAGTAGTAATTGTAATCACGTCTAGTGAATAATCATAATAAACCTCTGAAGAATTTCATATTCATTCAAATATGATCATAATACTTTCATTCAGAATTTTAAGAAATCCATTTTGTATAAACCTAATATTGTATCAAAAGATAAAATAATAATAATAATTAAATTTAGATACTGTATTATTTATGGTGAATGAAATCTTTACTAAATTTAGAAAATTGAAATTGTAAAGCTTAATATTTTATCAAATTTTGATAGAAACGTCACACAAATACCTTTTTCGTTTATTTTTTTTTATAGTGTGAAGAACTATTCTGGCACAATTATTATGTTGTATAGAAGAAAGGTTCAGCCTTTTTTTATATAAAAATTTAAACATGTAGAAAACCCATATAGTCTTGTTTTTTTTTTGAACAATGGAATTTTAATAATTCTAAAAATGGATGATTTTAGCTTTTTTTTTTTACCAAAGTAGCAAAATACCTTTAAGCAGTGTTGTGCTGGAACATGTCCCACATAATGTGGGACAGCTTGGGACATAGTGTGGGATCGTCTTAAAATGCTTGGGACATGGAAAATGGACAACACTGCCTTTAAGGACCAGTTTAACCAACCAATTGACCGTAAATTCAATAAATTGATGTGCAGTACATCAATTATTACATGGAAAGTCGAATGGTCGGTCGCTAAAAAGTCTTTGATCGACCGTTGGCAACTGAGCTTATGACCGCAATTATTTTTACCGTTTGTGAACGAAAACATGCTGGTACAATAAAAAAAGGTTCTTACAATTCGATTAGACCGAAGGAATAATACATCCACATTAAATCCGGATCCGATTTTTTGAAATTAAATAAATCCGGTTCCAATCTCTTTTTTTTAAGGTGTGAAATCCTATTTGTCAATCGTTATTTGTCACGGACGCCACCCTCACTTGTGGCGTGGGATTAATTATTAAAAAAACTATTCGCCACATTAAGCATATAAATCACGTGCCAGAGCTTTTATTGATGGTAATCACGCGAAACTCATTATATAAGTTTAGGGTGTGGTTAATGATGATGCTTACCAAAACTCATAGACAGTGTCAAAGTTGCGAAACTAAATCAACGTCAAAACTTTAATCTGATTCTAAATCTATTGTTCCTGCTGAATAATTGGTAAAGAGAAAGACTGCATGATTAATTAGACTTCATTTATTTGAAGATATAAAACAGTTCATGACCGGAATTAATGATAGAAACTTCATAAATATGACATCGAATTTCTTACCAATGTTAATGAAATATAAGTACCGCAAATTTAAGATTTCTCGTAATCCGTATATTTACTTTATTTTTTTGATCTCTCGGTTTTTGGAGTGATTATCCCGTTGTATTCAGTTCTTTCGTTCATGTATTATAAACAATTTGTGTTGTAAGCAGAAGGATTTAATTAAAGAATATTGAATTAACTATGACGCTAAATTTATTTAATAAAATCAACAGCGCTCTACACTTTCGCAAATTTCAATTTATTAATTCAAATAAATGCTAATCACTAAAAATGCTAATTAATTAAAATACGTTTATTTTAATTTCAGATTTTTCTTTTTTTATTTTTAATTTGTATTTTGTGAAGTGGCGAAAGTGATATCGCAAAGAGAAGGAGGTAAGGTGTATGTATGCAAAAGGAAGGAAGGCGAACTATGTGTTATTTCAAAGAACTCCAAATCCCAGCATATACAGTATATATTAAATTTTTAATTAGAACAATTTTGTACCCTAACGAAAAAGTTCGAAATTGATCTACAAGGACTAACTAAATTCAATTTTATGATTATTTTTTGGGCGAAACTATATTAAATGTAACAATATCAATTGGATTTAAAATCGTAAATTTTTAAGAAATATGGCGCAGAAAGTGGAATTAAAATGTTTCTGCGTTTCAATTATTGGGCTCAGAGAATAGGGCGTTATTGTCCTTTAAATTGTAATATCTGTTTATAAAATCATTTGAACGAGAATGATGTATGTACGTTAAATGAATTTTGCATGAAAGTTTGCTCAATCAAAATAAAAAAAGAAAAATGGTCCCGTTACCGAAATTATCCATATTTAGGAAAATACTTTGTTTATTTGCCAAAAAAGGCAGTCCGAAAATGGAGTTGCAGATCAAAAGATCTCATTGAATCAATAAAATAATTTGAACTCCGTTGATCAAATTAACTACTGCAGACGAACTTTTAATTTGGGGAGACAAAAAGAGATCAGCTATTTTTATAAAACTGAAATGTTAACACAATGATGTGATCATTTTGATAATGGAAGTCTGATTTATTGACGGCGCAGAAGATTGAACATGTATAAAAGGTTAACCATTTCGCTTGATCTATCCTTCATCACAATCAATATTGAA